ATTCTTAAGAGATTGATTGACATATTTCAATGTTAGAATGTAAATGCCAGTAAATTAAAAGCCATTAGACGAATGTATTAAAAATTAATACGCAATTTTTACGTTCATTTTAAATCGCGACATTTGTTCGTAGACGATTCGTTAATATTAACCGTTCACTCGTCAAAATAAAAAATTTCCCCCCTTTTTATTTATTTTCAATTTTTAGAAAGAAAGAAAGAAAGAAAGAAAGAAAAAAGTACGTATTCTCGACAAAGAAACTTTGCCTCGATTCTACTTTTCCACGTATCAAAATGCTTTGTACGGGTTGGCGAATAAAAAAAAAAAGAAAAGTCAAGCTGCGTTAAATCCTGGTGACCTGGGAGGTCAAGCGATTATTGATCCGGCCAACCCGTTCAGGGAATTGGGGATTAAGAAAATCACGCGCATCTCTTTCAAACTGGGATAAAACTACGTGTTATATGCGTTGAAACTACATTAAACATCGAGCGATATTCTCCCGATATAAAACTGGAAGATGGGTTTTTAAAAATGTAAGGAAAATCCATCCATCATTTTTATCGCCCATCCCATCTTCCAACTACTGTCGTAACAATTTCTTTGTATCATTCTTTGAGGAAACATTCTTTCTATGAAATCCTCGATGATCAAATTTCGCGTATTCCTGTCGACGTAACAATTCTTTTTTTTTTTTTATCAAAACACGTGCAATTCTTACCTTGTATAAATATATATAAAGAAAGACGGATGGTAAAAAATAGAACGATTGCGAGGTGCTTCGAATATCACGTCTCCGTTTTTCCATCTTCTCTTCTCTTCTTTTCTTTTCTTTGCTCGATCGTTCTCATCGGTTTTCTTTTTCGAGGGAAAGAAGAGGACATTGACGAGGAGAGGAGCGTGTCAAGACGATTAAAACTGGGAATAAGAGGAGGAGGAGAAGAAGAAGAAGAACGTCGATGAACCGCGAGAACGGGGGTTCGTTTCGTTGAAACAGAAGAAATCTCTCGACTCGTTTTCCTTTCACCTTCGTTGAGTAAATGGCAGAAAGGCGGAAGAATGCATTCTTTTATCGCGAAATCATTTCGTTTCGTTCGCGGAATACGGATGAAATGTTTGCGTCGGGAAGTAAGCAACGAGACCTCTTGTGGCCTCTCCCTTCTTCCAAACAAGGTGAGATAAAGAAGGAAAAATTTCTCGAGTCTCAAACGGATGATATTTCTTCGCGAATTTGCGTTGGATTCAAAAGAAATAGTGGCATTTACATTGTTAAATACGTACGTATCCATCCATCCTCTTATTCGAATTATTAAATCGAGAAAGTTGTATATAAGGGAGGGTGGAATTTTTACGTTTAATTTTCTCAGAAACGAGAAGTCTAATTTCTTCTTCTTCTTCTTCTTTTTTATCGCGCTACGATAAGAAAGTTTTATCAGAAATCAGTCTCGTCTTTGACACTACACGAAATTTTTCCTCGTTCCAATCCTCCTTCCGATCAGAATTTCATCACCGATCGTTCCACCGTTATTATTTCCTACCAATTCCTTGCTCTAAAAATTCCATCTGAAAAATTGGAAGCAAAAATTGGAAAAAAATCTGTCTAAAAATTATTACATAGCATGGTTAAGATTTAATTACCCTCCCCTTCTCCCCGTGTTCTCGATCCGAAGCAACTGTTCATTATCGAAGTTGAGCCTCGCGGGAAACGAGGCCTCCTTGCCCCAGAACGTGCACTCGCATTCGGTAGAATAGAAAGGAGAAGCTTGTTGCACGCCCCGAGCCTTAATTACCTCTGCCGGTCTTTTCAACCCCTCCTTCTTTTTCGTTTCGTGACAATTATTATTATTACGCGGCGGTGCAACTTTGCCGCAATACGCGAACAACCACCAGCTAATGTCACACACGCCTGTAACGAAAATGGCGTCCCATGGTGAAAACTCGAGAAGAAAACTTTCGATCTTTCGAGTCGTCGCGCACCTGCTGGTATTCCAGACAACTATTCTCTCTATCCATCTCTCTTTCTCTCTCTTCTCCTTTCATAATTTCGCGAAAAATATTCGAAAAATTTTATCGTGGTCGAGGTGCACGTGTGCGATGCAGCTCCGTAATAAAAGGAAAAAAGATCAAGCTTTATTAAATTAAGAAATCTCGTCGTCGCTTTCGAGAGAGGTGTTTTCAAAGAAATTAATTTATTAATAACAACAATATTCGTAATAAGATTTTTCGATGCTTATCTGTTAATTTATCAAACGACTTTAACGTATTTTCGATCGAATCGTTAACTTAGGGTTAATTCGAATGGAATATTGTAATTCTTGTCAAAGAAAAAGTAAAGCGAAATTTTTTTCTTATATACAGTTATCTTACAATTAAAAGCATCGTGTTATTTATACCGCTCTCTCTTTCTCTCGTCTCATTTCAAATGCATCCTCTTATCTTTTATTAATTGAACGATCCACTTGTGAAGAGTGATTTTCAATCAACTCGGGATGTTACTCGATTTTCAGATGTTCAACCGGTTGTAATCGTTCAATTCACAGCGTAGGACGGACGGGCAGCTTCCTCGTCTCTTCTCGATAATTGGGAAGAAAGAGGGAGGGGGGTATATAACTCGATCGCGAATCAGTATAGAATAATCATGAGGCCACGAGGATGGAAGTTGCGTTCATCTTCGCGTGAGATCACAAGGAGTGGACACGTGACGGCGGTATAAGGCGTAGCCTCGTTTTCGTTGTAGGCCTCGTTGGCGCATTAGCGCCGGCGCAAGTGGCCCATCAATATTAATAAGGCTGCGAGTGGACACCGGGCGTAGACAGAGACGGATAGATCGAATTTGCCAAACGGAGACGATCTCCTCTCTCTCTCTCTCTCTCTCTATACGAAAGAAAATTCCACTTTGCATACTGGAAGTAAGAATTTTTCTCACGTGCAAAGTTTAATTATTTAATCCAATCTATCCATCTTCGAGACCTCGATCCTCGAGTTGATAGCTTTATATAAATAAATTCACGCTACCATTTTCTCCCTCTTTTTTTTTCTTCCCCAGAGAGGAAAATATCCTGTCAGATTCCTTTTTTTTCTTTCTCGTTACATGTAATCGCGTCACGAAAGCGAGCGAGATATCTGCTACAAATCACTACAATATTCGTAAGCGCGCTAATTTCTATCGAAGGTAGAAGAGGGTCGAAGCGTGGCGATCGTATCGGCGTGCAAATTAGACTTTACACGAAATCACGAGGTGGAACACGCGAGAGGTGGCTCGGAGAGACCGCGGTCCCTTGCCACGTTAAGTCCTGCCTCGCTTGGTCCATCAATATTAATAAGATCCGAGGCGAGCATCCATATCGAAGGAGGAGGAGGAGGAGGGGGAGGACGAGCAATTTGCCTGTCGGTCGGCTGTCCGAGCTTTTTTTCGTTTCATCTTTCGGGGGCGACGTATAATAATCGTTGCACGTCGGTAGCAACGTTAAATCGAGATTGGAATTCGTTCAATGTCACGTTTTTTTGGGATCGAGTTTGAAGTAATAGGCGCATCTATCGCTCGAGTCGAACACAGGGGAAGGTGGATAAGTTTGGCAAAAAAAAAAAAAATAGAAATAAAAATACTCGTTCGAATCATAACTCCTATATATATATCCCCCTCGAGCTATTTTCCAAAGGCGCTCTTAATAATTTTCCTTACGAGTCGCGCGAGTTTAATTTATCTTGAAGTTTATCGGGTTATTGACAGGTTTATGCGAGGCTTGATTGGCGAAACTTTGAAACTTGGTAAAAGATAAAACGATTGTCACTAGAATTTTCGTTTTATCCGTTCAATTATTCATTTTACCTATCTCTACCTATCCATTTGCAAATGATTATTTTTTCGAACAGGGAAAATAAAATTCTTCTCCTTCGAGAATTTCACAACTAAACCGTTGAAATAATAAGAGTGACGCGGGAAGCGAAGCGAAAAATCAATCCTGTCGCTCATTCCCCATTCCACTTTTAATTAATATATTACCTTAAAGTAGACTTGATTTCAAACTCATTGAGGATTAAGATTATTGTATATATATAAATAAACAGGGTTGTAAGAGAGGAAAAATCTAGGATTTCTTGTCGAAAAGTTGCAGTATTATTCACGGGCGAAACTCTGAAAGCTGAAAGACCGCGAGGCAGCATCAGCCTGTCCGAGAACAGGCCTCGACAAAGTGGCGCATCACCGGTACGAAATTAGCTTACGGATTCGCGATAAGCTGCTTACGTCCCGACCGGGATAATCCTTGGTCTTCGATTCTCGATCTCTCTGCTCTCTCCCTCCCATTTCGTTTCAAGAGCACCACCAGGAATAACAGAATCACGCGGCTTTAATCGGCACGGAATTATTATTTCAGGCCAATGACCAACCCCGCCGCCAATTCAGTTTCGACTATTCTGGGCGCAGCTGCCGCCGATCGGCGGCGAGCAGATGCGCGTATCGTTCTTCATAAATCACGATATCGTGAACCGTTTTTTATCAATCTCGCTCGTCACTGTTACGCTGCTTCCTCGAAACGTTTATTCGCATCGATATTGCGAAAGACCGTTTCTAACTATATTATAATATTGTATCGATGATGACTGATTAAATAACAATAATCGTAATGGACGATTGTTTGTCTTCGACGAAAACGGGTCGACAAAGATTCGCATTAATTTTAAACAATTTGAACGAGTTCTTATTTAAATTCGTAAGAAACGTCCCTCAAACATCGCGAAATATATATATAAAACTGAAATTTACACGTATCGTTTATATATACGAATTATTTCTCCACGTTATCCCTACGTTTTAAATACACCCGCTACTTGTCACACCCACACAGACGCGCACACACTCTGTACGCTCGGACACGAATTGGAATTTAAACGTCGGTCCGGTCGATTCGATCCGAGATAGGTCCGAGGAAGTCGAGGAAAGGAAGATCGAGGCCGGCGGTGAATTAGTTAATGGAATTCGAGCGAGATAAGGCAGCACTCACCTCTTTCCCTTTGATATCTCTGTATCGGACCCACTTGCCCAGACGCGGTCGCCAGTACTCGAGGAGATACGCCTCTGCATACTCGACACCGAGACCGTTCCCGAACCGACCTTGCGTGGCGGTAGCCGTGATCAAGTGAACCGTATGAAGGTCGATCTCCAACCATTCCCGGGCTTCTTGGGTGATCTGATTCTTGGGACACCAAGCGCCACCGAGGTTCTCCGCTTTTAATCTGGAACAAGAACAAGTTCTTTTTTTCTTTTCTTTTTTTTTTTTTTTCTCGATTCGAACAATCTATCCCTCGTATTCTCGCGTAATTATAATCGTAACGATATTTATATTTGGAGTTTAATTATGTAATTTCATTCGAGATGGGGCGAAAGAGTGGAGAGTGAAGGGGAATGAGAAGTTTGAAATCTTAACGTCTTTTATGACGCTCGATGAATGAAAAAAGTTTTCCAATTCTCGCGAATTTTATTTACTTCTTTCTTTTTTTCAAATATATTCGTATCGTTTTCCTTTTTTTTTTTTTTTATTTTTATTCAGAACAGATATTGATCTTCGCGGGCGTCCAATGGGATTTATTCCAATCAACGCAGCGATCCGCGATATTCGTATCGATTACAACAATACTCTACCAGAACCGAAGCGATCCGTGATACTTTTTTTAAGGTTCGTTTGAGAGCGAAAAATCGTCGAGAGAATATTCCTTCACGAGCGAATAACTCTCAACGCGATGTGCATCCCATTAACGAACGATAATTTCTCCAAATCAATTTTCTTTCCTAGCGAATCTTTTTACTTTTCAACGCTCGCTTATTCTTCGCTTCCTTAAACGTTTCAAATATTTTCTCGAACCATCCTTTGTTCATTTGCACATTTCATCCTCGCGATCTCGTATCTTATCCTTTTACTAGATCAACACAAAGGTGTTGTGCAAAGGGGAAAGAAGGGTTAAAGGAAACGTATATATATATATATATATAATCGCGGAGGAGGAGGAGAGAGAGGGAGGATCGTAACTCCAGGCACGTTCCAAGAAGTTTCCAAGGGGGTAATCGGACGCGGCATTCTTAGCAAGATTCCGCCAACTTCGACATCTCGACCTTCCACCTTCTCCCCCTCCTCCACCGAGGACCGCATTCCTATTTTTCACCTCACCCTTTCAATACTTCTCCCGCAACGTAACGAATTAATTAAACGCCAAGATATCTAACGATCCTTTCCCCGCTCCGTTTCCCCGGACTAAATTCCGATATCGGCCCACGCTCGTTGCCCTCAACTTTTAATACTTTCGTTATTCCAATAATAAATTTGAAACCGACCTAACTTCTCCTTCAGACCTTCTTGCGCGTTAAATACACTCTTGAGGCGACGAGGAGAGCAGAAGAGGGAGGAAGAAAGGGAGAAAGAGAGAGAGAGAAAGAGAGAGGGCAAAAAAGAAGGGAACAAAAAACACGAGTTTAACTACTTAATGGGGCCGAGCAGATACCCGGGAGAAGTGTATAAGTGATACTTGGAAAGTTTGAAAATCACCTTTGTCACGTGAACCCCTTAACCGCGACAAAAAAACGTATCCCATATTTTTCCCATAAACCGACGTAACAAACACTTTCGCACGGGGCGAAACTTTTCTTTGCCCGGGGAGAAGGAGGAGGAGGAGGGACGTTTTCAATGTTTTTTAAAAAACTTGAAAATATTCGCGTCGTATCGTTTTTCTTCCCCCCTTCCGTCCGAGGGCAATTTCAATCGTCATTAAAAAAAAACAAACAGCGTTGCGAGGCTCATTTGGGATTAAAAACGAGCAGAATAATCATAACGACGTGAAATCTTAGTACCCTTCCCGGGATCCGCTAATTTCGGTCACGATTTCAACCGTATTTTCCGCCTTGTCTCTATATCTTTCTCTCTCTCTGTTACGTATAATTAACAGCAATAACGAAAGGCAATAAAGATAATTAAATTAAATTTCGAAAGTAGCAGGAACGTAAAACGTATAAATGGATCCTTTCTCTCTTATTTTTCTATAAATATATATATATATATATATATATATATGTTTTCCATCGAATAAATATTTCCATTCGAGCCATAGCTCGAAAATTGAAATTATATATATATATACATATACAAAGAACGATAATAACAAACAGCGCTTGTTGTTTACATCTCTATTTCATAAAGAACGAAAGATTCAAATTAATTTCGCTAATTAACGCTTCGAACTCCAATTATAATAATTGGAAAGCTAGGAAGGAGGGAAGCTAAATACATCAAAACGCCAAATCCTTCCCGAGATAAGCAAACCCTTAAAAACCAGTGACAATAAAAATTATTACCTCGTGAAATCGAAGGATGGACAACGCGAAGGATGAGTAACCCGAGAACCTGCCATTACGTGTCAACAACTCTAAGAAACAAAGCATCTCGACGACTTTGCCAGTCGACTCATCCACGGAAACCTCGATGCACACACACACACACACACATGTACACACACCGACGGTGAATCGAAGGCGCAAGCTGGCCATTTAATATGTCCAGGCCGTGGTTCGGTTTTAATCTTCGGAGAACGGGAGGAGGGAGGGAAAGCAAGGAGGAGGCCGCATCATGCTCGTGCAACCGGCATGAATAAAAGATGAGGCGCGAAGCGCCTTTCCTAATTGCGTGGACCGTTTAAATGCTCGGCTAAGAGGGAAGCTCGTATCGCGATATGTATATACTATATATATACGTATAATAACCTGTGTCGGTATATCCTTTCGGAAGGTGAGAGGCGAGACCAGGACGGGGGAGGGGGAGGCAGGACAACGAGGACGACATCTTCGAGGAAGGAGGAGGAGGAGGAGAAGGGAGGGAGCACTCGAGGGTTCGTGCCGGTAACCGTGCATTATTCTTCATTACAGGAATATTTTGGAGGCGTGCCTTAACGACGTGTACGTACCTACCACGATATTTGCCCTGTCCTTAATTGTCGCCGACCCGGACGCGGCGCCACTTACCGTTACGACTCGCGATAATTCGGTCTTTTTGGGAGAAGAAGAGGGAGGGAGGGGTGCCGTCGTTCGCGAAATTTCGTCGATGTAATTAATATAGGATTTTTAGATGGAATCCTAGCCGTTCAGTTCGCTTCAATTAACGGTTCGTTCCCTTCGAAAATGCAAATCGGGTATTCGGGTTTTATATATTCGTTTTCGATGGAACATATCGGAGAATGGACGTTAAGTTTAATTTTTTTCGCTCGACAAAGTATTCGTGATATGTTTCTGGTTCGATAAGAATAAAGACACATCGTATCGATTTATCGGTGTAAATATGTGTGTAAACTCTGTGTGTAAATATGTGTGTATAATAACTTCCGTGTAACTGGGAGTCGATTTCGAAACGCGTGACGAGAAAGAATCGAAGAAATGAGATGTCTGAATCGATAGTAATCGTATCCGGCTACGCACGATCTATCAGGCGTCTAAAATGTAATCCAACCCATCGCGCGTTATAAAATATCGGGGCGTAAACGATCGGGACGCTTTCGTTCCTCTCGATATCTCGACACCCAGCCATCTAACCGTCAATCCAACTTGACTAACTACTTACGATCGCTCGTTCGCGTGGCAAAAGTAACGACCACGCTCCTCCATCGCTTCTCCTTTCTTTTCCATCCATCGAAGGGAGTCCGGTTTATCGTAAACTCGTTTCACCGCTCGTCGTCCTCTTCGAGGGAAACGTCGCCCCGTTTATTACTCGCGAGCTAATTCGCCAAATTAATGCGCGCTCGATTCTTCACTTTTATCACTGCCTTTCCCGATCTATTATTATCGCGCCTGTACAAACACCTCCTTTTTTTCCCTCTGTCGAATTGGAGGGTATCGTATCGCTTCCTTATCATTTTCGCGTTACCCGTTTGCTATAAACGCAGATCGTATTCGACGCGAAATACGATCGAGGCAGAAACGGCAACGTCTCTCCTCGAGCACCGAGCTTTAAATGACACGCGTGCCTCGAAATTCTTACGACAATTCTTGTTTCGAAAATTAAAGTGGAAGGGGTACGAATATAAACACTCTAATATTTATATTCCGAAACTAAAGTGGAAGGGATACGAATATAAACGCTCTAATATTTATATTCCGAAACTAAAGTTGAAATAGTACGAATATAAACACGTTAATATTTATATTTCCAAATTGAGTATAACGCTCGAAATCGCAACCGAATCCTTCTCGTTTCCTCGTAAAAAACTCGTAAAACTTCTTCACGTTTCCTCTCCGCGCATTTTATATTTATTGCTCACGTTTGCGACTAATGATCGTGGTTCTCGGCCATCGAGTCGAGAAACGATAACGCGCCGACGATATTCTCGCGGGGGAATAATCTCGTCTGATTTCGCGAGATTCACAAGATTTACGCGTTGCAACCGTGCGTTTATGCCACCAGGCTCGGACCTGGTCGATCGTTGGAACGAGGAGGCGCACCTAGCAGATATACGCGCGCGAATTATATTCCGCCGATGGAATATAATGGGAAAAGGCGTGGGTCGGTTTTACGGTCGAAGCGTTAATTCTGTCCACGTCTTCCGGTGGGATCGCGCCGATTACGGCTCGCGCACTTAATTGATACCGTTCGGCATTAACGGACTAATTGATACGGGCCACGGTGTACGTGGATGTCGTGTAACCGAGATGTGGCCACGGTTAACGTGAGTTACGATTCACGGCCTCTCTGGAACGTGTATGCAAATGTATATAGATGTTAAGAACATTGAATCGCGCCATGTTTACGACGCGGTTTAAGACATGTTTGTTCTCAATGTACACGGGGTTCGCGTTACTTCGTGTTCGAAACTTGCTTTCCGATACTTCTTGAGATTTATCGTTAAAAAGATAGTTATCGTTAATTTACATGTCGTCCATATTTATTTATTTTTTTTTTTTTCTGATTTAAACACGTTCTTTGGATTTTCGTTTTGGAATATATCGTATATTTGTACGTACTTTTCACGCGTATTTCTATCTTCTTTTTTTCTGGCATTTGTCGCGAAACGACGATATCTGTATCTAAGATCTCGATGCGTTAGCGTGGGCATAGAATCCAGAGAATTCTAATGTATCGATATAAAACGTAAAAATTTTTTCTACTTCTCGTAATACGCGTAGGCTAATTACGATTCGTAACGATAGTTTATTTTATAAATGTAATTGTATACGAATAAAAGCTAGACATATTAGCATGATT